AATTCTTCACAATAAAAGTATTATTGTAATAGCAAGACGACTTCCTCTAAAGATGTGCCACTCAAGGCATAGCATTTTGAGCATAGCTTTTTGGATGGGTTCCTGCTGAGATTGAAGCGTATATTACGCATGAACGGGAACCCTCAGATACCCAAACGAGAGATTGATGAATACCTTCCCTGGTCTCGCATAGCGGTACAAGCAATAGAAAAAATTTAGGGAACTTGGAAAAAATGACATTTACAAGTTTTAGCAGTTGTTGGAGGCTGGTCTACATTTTTTTCCATATGCATTTACAATCCATGAAATTTTCGAAACTTTATTTTGCACTTTTCGATCTATTCTCACTTGCATTTGCAAGACTTTAAGCCATTCAAACCGTTTGTTAGTGGCAAACGAAAAACTGGAATGACATATTAGGTTGGCTAATAAATGAGTTCGGTCGTTTTCTGTAGAAAAGTTACAAATCAATTTATGTGAGATGGTATGGCACCTTTGGAAAGAGCAGATCAATGAGAATCGGGTGGCTAAAAATTTCTAGCGATAACTGATAATACTGTTTTGCAGTGAAATTGTGCAGAAAAGTAGAAAAGTAAGATTTTTTTATCTTTTCAAAAAATCACGCTTAAAAAAACGAACGAAAGTTGAGTGTTGATGTACAAATAGCATCCATACAACAAATTATAAAGTTTTCAACCTTTTGCACGAGCACAGATTTTAAGCGTTTTGGTTTACTTAAAAACTGACATTCACATGCAAATATTTTCAGTTTTCACATTTTCGGTTGCAGGAATTTATAAACAGCAAATCGGATCTCCGTAGTGGTTCGCTTTTGTGTTCAACTACCAAATTACTCGTCTGTGCACTCACTAGAAACTGAGAACGACACTCAGAAACAAAAAAATTGAAATTTTAGAAGGGCCGTAAGAGCGTAACTGAAGTCTAGGATAAGGGCGAATTTTGATCTGATATGTGAAATAGAGGCTTCAAGCCAACTCCTCATAAAAAAATCCCAGCCAAACACAATCATCGCGTTGTTATAGAGCTTCGAGATTGCAGGTCCAGAACTTATCTATTAGCCAACCTAATAATAAATGCGATTATTCGCAGATATCTTTCTATTTGGAGTTAATTTTCCACAAGAGGAAAATTTGGGTGGACTTCCACTTTTGCTAGTTCAAAACCTTGTTGCAAGTATGATAAAAATTGAAAGTTTGGTGCTTACAACAGGAAACAAATCAAATGTATGACCACCCACGTATACATTTGCAAAAATATGCAACTTATTTTTGGAGCCTCCCCTCTACCCCTGCTTCTCCTTCGCCAGTTGTAAGGGAATGTCTTTGGAAGTCTTTAGAATTAAGTCGTTGAATAGAAAAAGCCTTTGAATTTTAACGCTAGATGACGTTATCTGCTACTATCAGGAATCTCATTCCAATCTCAAATTCCGTAAGGTTCATAGAAGGGGAATTTTCAATAACTGCATATACGTACTTTCACCATTTTGTTATTGAGCCTAATTTCAAAATTGTGAGCGAATTCAACGACCCGGAAGAGCGAAATGTGAAATTCAGAAGAAAACCACTTCAAGCGCTTTGCGTTCTGGAGTGCTGTGCCCTTATTGTCCCCCATCTTGTTCAATAACTCGGGAAGAGCAACATATACTAAAAATTCCTTGTGCTCTGCTTTTATTATTCCGAATGCTTCTAAAATACATGCATCGTTACTATAAAAAACCGCAGTTGCTTGGCAGACGGTTCGCTTCAGTTAGGACAAAATTTCTGGTAAATAATTTTTGATCTTTCTCTGTACGTATGATGATGGATAATATTATTTTTGAGCGGTTTCTCTTGATGCGAAAAACTCAGAGAAGGACAATGGTACTGTCCACATTTAGGAAAAGGTTTAATCGAAATTTATATCATTACTTGTTATACTGGGTTGCTCCATAAGTTTTTCATATCTTACTTTCCTGACATAAATCAGTTCTTCTCATGTTCTCAACAAATGGGGTACCATTCGGCAGATCAAATAAGCTTCACAAGATTACTTTCAAAGGTTCGCACTAGGCTTGATCTGCGTTACGTTCTAAACCAAAAAAGGTCCCAATTTCTGAAAGAACCGAAAAAGTCCTGCCTTAACTCAAAGAAAATTCCGCGAATTTCCCACACGCTTACGATCCTCTTTCCTTCAAAAATTTATACATGTGCTTGCTGCATTTTTCTGCAGGCTAGAAATCAAGAAAAATCAATGCGTTGACTTTCTAAACTTTGTCTTTAGCTATTCTCCCTCCTCGCAAAGTGATTATATAACTTATTCACTCAGAAATACTGCAACGAAGTTAGGTGCCCTTGTTCTTGAGAAATACCAGTTTGAAGCTCTGAATTTGAAAAGGCTTATGGAACAACCTAATATGTATTCTCATCTGATTCCTCCATCTACGTCTCGCTCTGCATCCAACTCCCAACCTTTTTTATAGTTTCTCTCCTCAAATTCACCTAAGCGCATGCAAGTTTACTGCACTCATAATATCCGCACGGTTTTTCTCGAATATTGACTTTGTGCGATGGAAATGAGGTGCAGCTTACATTTACATATCCGTTCAAATTCTCCAAACTCACTTCTCCCAGGGACCCCGTCCACTGCACATCCTTCTCCTTCCGCACTCACCTTAGGCGACAACAATGGCGATTTTGATAAACAGGCGTCATCATCATATGTTCCATTTTTCATCGAAATATTTGAGACAAACAAGAATGAAGCTACGTATGCAGAAAAGTGACTCCAAGCCACTGTCCAGTGGTTCGCGTTTGACAAAGGTTGGTGTTAAATCGGTGCTCGTATGATATTCCACAAAAGCTCGTGCGAAGTTTTTGAATCTTCCAACTCGAACATCTTACGGTAATTTACCGTTCACCTCAGCTCGATGGTTGTCTACCTTGGTAAGATTCTAGCATTTACTATCCGAAGAAGATTTTAGTTAATTTTCGGAGTATCAACTTTTGTACGGATCGAAAATCTTAATGTTAAAAGAAAACTCACAATCTCATAAAAGCTTTTGAAAAAACTTTTCTATGAGTTTAGTTTCCGGTCTTCACCAGGGTGCGGAAAGAGTACTGTCCCTCAAAATGATGGCATTCAATCGGGGTGAATCCCAGATTTTTCTGCTAAATTTGACATAAATTCTAAGATGTGAATGTATTCTTGCATTTCACAAAAACTGGCTTCAAAATTTTGCAATTTCAAACGGCGTCGGATCCCTTTTCGCAACGCATCCCATATCAAATCTTGCAACTCCCTTCTACAGATGTGAAGGAAGTGTGAAGTTTTTTGTAGAATTCTTTTGTTTCCGACGTGGATTTGAAAAATCTTCTACTGCTTCAGGAATGTTTAATGTCTTCGAAATAGGCTGAAAGTATCCGGATCGCAGTTGCAGTAGGGGAAAAGTTGGGAAATTTTTTCACGAAGTAGCGCGGTGCAACAGGGTGCGATCAGAAAATGTGGCACAGAAACTGAGTACCTTCGTTTATTGACTCAAAAGTTATAACGTATACAAAGCCCGATATTCTTTTCATTATTCCTGTTACTTTTTGTTGGTGTCTGGAATTTCGAATCTTAGTTCGAATCCAGTGTATTGAGCAAGAGCATTATTAATTAGCCTGTTTTTGAAAAAATTTTGGATTTTACTTGGGATATAGTTTTCTTTGTGACAATTTCAAGTCGCTCATCTTATATATAAAGCTGAATGTCTGTTTGTATGTATGCATGTCTGTCTGTCTGTACGTATGTTCCGAATAGAAAATTCCATTTCTGAACCGATCCGGACCAAACTTGGCACACATACGCTACGGGCCCCGGCGGGTGTCATAGGCTACTTTTCGCCATCGATCGATATCGATTTTATCGATTTTTATCGATTTTTTTGCTGAGTTCACCTACGGGGCTGGGAGTTGGCAGGGGGGTAACGAGCATGGGGATTCCGAATACAATATTGGTTTTCAGGATTATCGATTACTTTTATCGATCTTATCGATTTTTTGCAAAGCTTGAGCTACGGGGCTGGGATTTGGCACAGGGGGGTAATCGGGGGTGATCAGCATGCTCGATTACCCCCCTGTGCCAAATCCCAGCCCCATAGCTCAAATTTTGCAAAAAATCGATAAAATCGACACCAATCGATAACGAAAAGTGGATTGTGACACCCGCCGGGGCCCAAAGTGTATGTGTGCCAAGTTTGGTTCGGATCGGTTAAGAAATGGAATTTTCTATTCGGAACATACGGCGGAGCCGGGTAAGCCAGCTAGTCCATAATAAGTATAGAGTTTTGGAGAAGAGGTTATGCTTTACATATTACCTTGATGTGAAACTGATATCACTCCTGATGGTATAGTTACGGTCCATGCGCCCAAACGCTGCGGCGCATCGTTGATGATGCTGCGCGCCGTTATCACTCGATTAAATGGACAGAAGGAAACCGTTCCAAATCAAACTTATTATAATCTACAAGGTCTCGCCTGCATGCAGGAATTAAAAAACCATAAATTTTCTCCATCGGTGAGGTTTTTAGGAAGCAAACTGAGGGGCAGTATTTTTTCCGCACCCTATATATTTTCACCTAATCTATATTTCAAAGAATTCTTGCCATTCGTGCCTCGAGATCTTTCCTAATTCTATAGCATCAATTCTGATTTGCATCAGGTGCTAGCAATAGTCAACCCTCATAAAGCTGTTTATTAAAAACTCATTTTGCATGGTTTACATGAAAAATATGCTCAAAAAGACTTTACAAAAGTGGCGGACAAACTTGCCCACATTGTGTCAATGTAAAGCGATAACTAAGTTGTAACATAACAAAAAATAAACCATATTTTGAGAGATGCCTCAAGATGTTTTTCATGAGGTTCAGATAACTGCAGGTGAGAATTGCTTATTACCCAGGGCATGGACAAACTTACTTTGATTATATGTAATAAGATTTCTGCTCATATATTAATTTTCAGGCGACACCGTTATTCGTTCATCTGTTGATGATATGCAGTGTCGGAGTATATGCAATTTTTGGTGCTGTGGTGATGAGAAAATTGGAATCACGATCGCTGGCCGAGATCACAACAGAAGTAGAACAACGACATCTGGCAGAGAAGGATGAGGGTGGGTGAGCGTGGCTTTGTCATTTTTGGAACTTAGCCAGCAGCCATATATTCCTTCTCCCTTCAACGACTCTCGCTCTTGTAAAACACACTCTGAGAGCCCGCATATCAAATCACTTCAACTATTTTACATTTGCCAAAAACATAGCTATTCATATTTGATACGCGCAAGGCGTTCATATTTAGACAACCAATAAAAGCACATTGGACATAAGGAGCAACAATGAAAACAAAAAAGGACTTCCATCAAGTCAAGTCCAGCCACGAGTAGTTTTTGAAGAAGAGTAAGGAATTAAGCTGAGACCTTATCTGAATATAAGTGGTGTAGAAATGGAGAACCATGTTTTTATAGGGAGTTTTTTCAAAACTGTAAACAAACGCCCAACAGTCCGCTTGGTCAGTTTAGCTTTTCAACTCCAAATAATTCTCGGAGTCATTTGAAGTTATTTTGTGGAATCAAATCGAGATTTTGAACCATTGACCGCAACTGTGTGATGGAATTTTTGATGTCAGCGCGCTTTACACCAATGTAAGCAACGAATGCGCCATTCAAGCTGTCTCGGAGCTTCTTGCCCTTAACGTAAATAATGTCAACCTTTACGGGCTCTCAGTTTCGAGGCCCATGACACTTTTGGAGGCGTAATTATGCAATATCTTTAGGTGGTTTGGGAGGTACTTGCGCAGATTAGAGGTTTAGCCATGGGGCAAAGGTTAGCTCCCACACACTTGCGGTGGCCTTTATGGCCAAGATCGAGGCACCAGTCCTAGAATGCCGTCCGATGCTATATTGCAGGTACTGACTACTGTCTCATAATTTGTTCGACTTAAGCAGAGAGTGACAGTTGTTTCGAAATACTTAACGAGCAATCTGCATACATTGAGCTCACGAGAAAAAGCCCAGAGTGGCTACCATTTTTGAACGTGCAGGTCAATATCGCCTCAGGTGAACACGTAACGAAATGGTACCGAAAACCCAGTAAGAAAAACATCTTGGTACACTTCCTCTCAGCTCATCCCTTACATATGAAGAGAGCTGTAATCAAAAGTATGTTTCGTACAGCTTCTCGCGTTTACAGCGAACAGCAGGAAAGGGCAGGGTCTCTTGCGTTGGCTCGTAGTATAGCGGCTTCTAACGGCTATGAACATCATGCTAGGAGGACAAGGCGGCGTGGAACACATGGTTCTCAGGTAGACAGACCTAATATAAGCGATAAGATCCCCTTCAGCGTTCCTTATATCTCCGATGAAGTTAGCACTGCTTTAAGGCAGTGTCTGAGGAAATGCGGGTTAGAAAACTCTGTTGCGATGGTGGAGTTACACCCAGTAATCTAAAAGGTATTTTGGTCCGCAATCGCATCTACGATCGAGTCTGCACAACGCCTAATTGCCTGCCCTGCGGGGAGGGTGGGGTTTGCATGACGTCAGGGGTCATCTACCTTATCACCTGCGCGGGCTGCGGCGACACGTATATCGGCCGGCGCGCTCTATGCGTCCGCATTAAAGAGCATTTAGATGGCAGGGATAGATCACGCACGACCACATCTCTAGGCTCTCACAGGCTGCGGAAACACGGTGAGAAAACTTTGAAGTTTCAGTGAAGATCTTAGCGCATGAGTCCCAAAAATCAGCTCGCAAATGTTTGGAAGCCTTTTGGATTCACGCAAAAAGTCCACAAATGAATCGCAAGGAGGAGGCCTCTTAATCATTCGTGAACTTGCACCTTACCTGGGTCACCTCTTTTGACTCACTGTAGGCACATAAAGAGCGTGGCATACATGGTCATTCATTAGCGCTCGCTCAGGCACCTGTATGCTATCGGCATATTCAAAAAGGTAAGTGTTTGGTCTGCATTCCAGTCAGTGAAGTGAACAGGCAAGCTGCAGAGACGTTTGATCGGATAGATTGCAGATCGCTTTGCCCATTCCAGGCTCTGAAGAAGGCGATCTGCCAAAACGTAAGCCAACAAATAATTATTACCAATCTCGAGTGCGGCTTACATAAACAACTACGACTTCTTCAAAATATTTTTTCAATGTGAACAATTTCCATTGGTGACCTATCCGTCTCGTTAGACCAGTGAATAGTTTTCAAGCTTCTCAAAGCCTTCTCCCATTTCCGAATTCTACTGTTTTTGTTTGTTCCTTGTAACTTGATAAATCAAAACTTAATTTTAATAACACTTGAATTTCTAAAAGAAACTTATGACCAAGCTGGAAGGGAAAGGTGTTTTGTTTGCAGAATGTATGCTCTCCTGTTAACAAAACTTCAAAACTCTAAGTTGGAATTTGATTAGTTAGATTCGGACAAAATGAAAACGGTGGGTTCCGATTTTCCGCAGTTATCGGAAAGACCAAGAGAGAAATTATAACGAAGACATTACTTTTGGAATAAGAAAAAGAAGTTTTGTGGAATACCACCGGAAGTCCTCCTGCATCCTAATTTTATTTTATACTCGAAGTTAGGCTCAACAAACGGCACGTGCTTTCGGAACCGCCTGATACATATCAATCCATACCTTCGATAGTCTAAGATAGGGCGTCAAAAGTGAAGGTCGTTTGAGTGTCTGCCCCTCATAAAAAGTGAAGGTTCTTTTAAGACGCCGCAATCAGTTCGAAATTTTTCGTTTGGAGGCATCTCGAATTTCATTTCGCTACAGGACCAGGCAATTCACAGCACAGGGGAAAAAAGCTAGGTTCTCCTTTGTGATTGTTTTAGAAACAAACATATTTTGGAAGTGGTGGTCATCAAGAAGAGATTAAACGAAAACCATACAGTTATGAAAGCGTAAAATTTCCTTTTTTCCTAAGTCAAAATGCACGCGAAAGATAACTACTATTTTTTGATGCGTCCTTGGAATTTTTAGCCCCTTCCTGTAGTTCCTGCTTTTGGCGCATTGTTAGCTTTATTGTGCTCAAAATACTGAGCAAGATGCGCTCAAGCGTGTAAGAAATGGTTGCTTACTAACTCAAACAAAGGCCTATAAACAAAACGTACTTTTGCAGCATTGTGCTAGATATTCCATCACAGTCGAGGAAGTTAGCCCCCCGACGTTGTCTACATTATAAAGCAAGCAAGATTCATGGAATGCAAAAATCCGCGTAAATAGTGCTAAATTGAAGAAAAAACAAGGGATTTTCGAAAACATGGTTTTCGCCAGATTTCTCGTTCAGATCAGAAAATGGAGTATCGCGACGTTGTCAGCGTGAAAGTAGAGATCGAGAGCTTCAGTATGATATACAGTTTGATAGGATTAAATTGAAAACGACAAACGAAAGGATACCATATCCAAATGCCCCGCACCCCGCGTTTGGGGTAGCGAGGCAGCGCTCAACGCGTGGAGAAGACGGCAGCGAGACAGACCAGAGCCGACGGGGCATTTGGCTCTGGTCTTAGATCTCGGCGGGGTCTTGACAAAACCCTGCAACACTATATATCGTTGTGATCCTCATGACACGACAGGAGCATTGACAACGTCGCGGATGTTGAAAATTACTTATTAAAGGCAGTAGATCGGGAGAATGAGACCCGTGACAAAACAAGGTCACAGGGTAGGAGCCCCCATATGGATGTCCGATAAGTTCCATATGGGGCTCCTACCCTGTGACCTTATTTTGTCATGGGTCTCATTCTGCCGATCTACTGCCTTTAACGCGATAAACAGGCATTTATATTGCGACCATAGGTGCGATAGGGGGAGCCGGGCTCTCCCCAGGTGAAGGGGGTCTCGGCTGTTCCCGACCTTCCAGGGTGAAGGGGGTATGTGAGTCCGGGGGGGGGGGGGGGAGAGGAGGAAGAGAGAAAAGGTAAAAAAGCGTGGTATGAAGAGCTCTAATTTGTACCTTATTTAGGCACAAATTGAAAAAAATTTATAAATTTCATAAGAAATTTAAAAATTTTCAAAAAATTGACTTTATGAAGATCTGTGCTCCTGTTTCATTGCATCAACAAAAAACGAAAGCAATAAGGTTTATCCCAAAAGATGTACAAGTTAGGAACAACTTCAATTCCTGCACATCATCATCAGCAATATCACTATCGCTAACGTCAGAGACAACAAGTTCGCTGCCTGAAAAATCTTCTTCTTCCTCCAAAAGGTCATCGGAGTAAAAGTAGAATTGCGTGCAAAAGCGTTCTGAGTCAAAAATGGATTTGAAACTTTCTTCTTCTTCTAAGCTTTGTGATTTTTTTCTTGGCCCTCTGGCAACCACAGCAGGTAGGTGACCAGTTTCTTTATACCATCTTTTAGGAAATTTCAAAAAGTCATACGGCAACAGCCTGTCTGGACCACTTATACCTATCCTTTAAATGAAGTTTTTACATAACATTATGTTTAGTAGAAGGTTGACAAACCTTAAGTAATTGTTTATATCTTATATGCTCCATCGTTGTACGACTTCTGCGTTGTGTTCTGATAATAGAGTAGATAGAAAATTTCTTTCTACACCTCTGCCGTGCTAGTCGGAATGGAAACTAGCTTTGCCAGTAAGTCCATCAGATTTTTGCGGTAAGTAATGGGAAAAGAGCCAGATCGCATATGCTTTCGCAACATGGGAAGGAAATAGTGCATACTTTTTTGGGCCTTGTCGAACTCTGGTTTCACCTCCTCTGGCATACGTCCTGTTAGCTGATGAGAAAGCTGCTCAACTTCTTCTTTACCAGCATCTGCGGAATAGCCAAAAAAAGTAGATACTATGCTGCGCGTTGTTTTTTCTTTAATATCATAGGTGATAATGTCACAAGGCGAATAACCTCCAAAAGCATAAAGCACAGAGTAGGGTTTGCACTCCAGTCGGGATCTAAGAGCAGTAGCTATGCTTTGTACTAACACCTTCCTTTTGTTCATATCCATGTTTGTGAATTTAGCAGCCTTGAAATCTTCAGCAACCTGAAGATCAGCAATGGACTTCCTGGACATTTCCTCATTGAAACTAGGCAATCTACTTGGATTCCTTATGTAGGAAATCAAAGAGTTTCGCTCAATTGTCAATCTGTATCAATGTC